CTGCACGAGATCTTCAGATCTGAGGAGCCCATAGATGCACCGAGATCACATCGAACAAATCCGTCAGCAGGTGTGAAGATAAGAGGGGTTCTGCACGAGATCTTCAGATCTGAGGAGCCCATAGATGCACCAAAGTGTCGACTTAAATCGTTGGAGCCTTTCCTTCCACGCTTGAGCAGCATGAGGGTATTCACATGTTCATCAGAGTGCCCACCTGCACAGTGTAGCTCCCGGCGGCCTGCTGCTGCATGAGGATCCCCAAACAGCCAAACAGACCTTCAAAGTGCCCACCTGTACAGTATACCGTATCTGCCGGCAGCCTGCTAAATTATGGGTGTTTTCACATGTTCATCAAAGTGCCCACCTGCACGGTGTAGCTCCCGGCGGCCTGCTGCTGCATCATGACCAGCTCGGAGGCCTCCTGGTCGTGCGGCCGCTGCTTGAGTAGCGCCATGTAATCCAGCACCGACAGCAGCTCCTCGCCGCCGTCTGCCTCGTGGCCAAATATTAGCTCGGGGCCGGAATCCTGAGGAGAAGACCAAGTCGCAATTCTTGCTTTTCCATACTTCATTTCCGTTTTCTTTCCTACACCAAAGACGATTCCACCTCCACTGCTGAAGTGCATAAAAAAACGGGTGCAAACGAATCCGATCTCGTAAGCAGCTCCTACCCGCATCCGCCTCGTGGCAAATGTCAGCTCGGGGTTGGCGTCCTGGAGAAGGAGTTTGATTCAGGTTTCTAGGTGTTTTGAGACTTATGACATTTTGGAGGGTCGCTTTTGAGACGGTTTTTGTATCCCGGCCTAGAATACTCTGAACTTTTTCTCCTGAGAATCAAAACCAGGGGTTAAGAAGTCAGCTGAGGGAGTTTCATCGGGCGTGGAAGTACTTGCTGAACACGACAGCGAAGTGGGAAGGTTGGAAAGAGGGGAAACGCACGCCAGACATGACGAGTGTATTGGGCTGAAACGGCGACCTAGAGGAGTAATCGATATCCCGAATGTGGACTCGGTTTGTGAAAGAAGCATCCGGCCCTCAGTGCATACTCTGCAGGAGAGGCGGGGTCGAAGCTGGTCGTCCTACACATGAGGAACGTCTGGGGACTCGTTCCAGTCAGCAAATAGCCGCTCTTGGGCTCTCCATGTCATGATAGAAACCAAGCCTAGCAACAACTCTCTGAGGTTCCTTGACATGGCCGCTGTGGACACGTTTGAATTCTGATGATGCCATATTCTCCATTGAACCCGATCGATACACCTGAACACCTTTCAACAATTCAAAGCAATACCCAGACTTTTCGCGGCGATAACACGGCAGTGATCGAATCTCTCCAGAACCCCGCGCTAACCGACTCACCTGCTCGTTCTGTTGTGCCTCCTCGCTTCCCTCAGTGGGGGATCCCCCTGGTGCCCCCTTGATTGTGACCGCACCCCGCTGCCTGCGCTCCCACGCGCGCCAATAAAGCCCCGCCAGCTCGCGCGTGGATGCATTGAAGAGCGTCAGAATGCGTCGCAGCCTTTTGGTCGAAGACTGCATCGTCTCGGTGGGGAGGCCAGCGCCGTCGCCGTGGAAGTAGTCGCTCAGGACGTCCAGGCCCTGAGAGCAGGAGATAGCTTATGAGATGGGCGGGGCGCTTATATATCAATACGCCAAGACAAATGAAGAGACTTCAAGCCGACCACTTGAATTTCAGTTAGAAGCCCGGCTGTTGTGCGTGTGCGCACCTGTTCGAGCAGGTCCTTTTTGTTGCGCACAATGGCAGCTACTCCTTAAAGCTCCATTCTTCGAGCATTGCGACTATCTGGCATGGACTTGTGTCATTGACGCCTTCACTCTCAAACCCTACAAAGCCTGAGTTCCACAAACCCTAAAGGTCTAGACCCACCTGTTTCAGGAGGTCCTTCTGGTGGTGACGCTTCATTCTTCAAGGACTTTCGATTACCCCGGCACGGAACCGTGTCCTTAACGCCCTTCAAAGTGCTCGAAATCCTGAGATCTCAAAACCCACAAAGCCCGACTTCCACAAATTTAAAGCTCTAAACTCACCTGTTCCAGGAGGTCCTTCTGGTGGCGCGTCAGCGGCGGCTGCTCGTCATCCGCGTGCAGCGCCATCTCCTCCATGGAGTCCACGAGAGCAGCCCACAGGAACTCGAGCATGCGCCGGAACACGTGTGGCATTAAATGCCCGTTCATGACGGCCAGGTACTCGTCCAAGTACTCGGTCAACGGCACCAGCCGCTTCTCCATGCTCAGCGCGCCGCCCTTGCCGACGACTGCGGTGCGGAGCTCGTTCAACATGTTGGCCTGCGAGAACGGGATGGGATGACGTCAACGGAATGACGTCAGTGGGGCCGTGCAGAAAGATTTTGCGCCGAGGAAGCTGATAACGATGGAAGACAAGGGTTGTCAGAGTGTTTTGATGGGCAGTTCTACTGAAAGCACTACGGTTTGAAGACTGCCAAACGGGTCACTCTTGCCGTGAGACGACAGTGAGTGCCTAGGATTGTCAAGAGGTCGTGTCCAGAGGCAGAGACTTGATCAAAAGGAAACACGACAAAGCTAAGCTAGAACATTTACAAGTGCTTTACCTCGCAGCGTCCAACTGCACGCCAAGCAGTTGCACCGTCATGAACAACAACAGCTAAGAGGCTCCTGATAAGAAAAGGACTTCGAGAATATCATCCACCGGTATTCCGCGAGAAAAAGCACGATTGAAAAGGGCTTCCTCATTTTCCACCCCCCCACCTGGATGCATTCCACGATGGCCCCCATCACGTCCAGGCACGCCCGGTCCACAAACGCTATTAGCTCCCCAAAGTGCTTCCCCACAAACGGCCGCGCCTCGCCGCCCGCGCTCTTATTCACCGCCGCAAAGTCCTCCAACTCCCCCTCCTTGAACCCCAGGTCCTCGCTGTCAGAGTCGCTGTACGGAAGATCGTCGTCTTCGTCGGTATACCGCTCCACGTTCTTCTCTTCCAGCGCCAGCTCGTACGGCGTTTTGGGATAGGGCGTCTTGGGCAGAGGCCGCCCAGCGACGCCGGACCACTCGTCTGCGAGGCGCAGCTCGAGCTCCTTCTGCAGCTTGCGCGTCATGCTCAGGTTGTTCAGCTGCGGGGGGGTAAAAGAGGGGTAAAAATCGGTGCTGGAACGCGCGTCATGCTCAGGTCGTTCAGCTGCGTGGTGTGGAGGAAAGTGGTGTAATACGTGGTGGAGTACGCGTCATGCTCGGGTTTGTTGAGCTGTGAGGGGAAAGAGACGGGGGAAATCGACGGATCAGTATGGAGCTCTTTTCTGGAGCTTGCGCGTCATGCTCAGGTTGTTCAGCTGCGGGAGGGAGAAAAAGATGGGGTGTGAATACGTGCTGGAGTACGCGTCATGCTCAGCTTTGTTGAGCTGTGAGGGAAAGGAGACAGGGGAAAGTCGACGAATCAGTGTGGAGCTCCTTCTGAAGCTTGCGCGTCATGCTCAGGTTGTTCAGCTGCAAAGAAGAAGAAGTTTGGGTGTGAATACGTATTGGAATAGGCGTTTTGCTCAGGTTGTTCAGCTGCGGAGGGGAACCCAAAATAGGGACTGAATTTAATTTTAGGGATGGGTTAATGCAAAGCAAAGTGGGCGCGAGGAGGCAGAAATGACACAAAGCCTGAGGGAGAAGAGAGAGAGGAATATCAACGTGTTCGTGAAGAGCTCCTTCTGGAGCGTGCGCGTACTGCTCAGGTTGTTCAGCTGCGGGGGGGGAAACAGGTGGGGTGTGAATACGCTGGAGTACGCGTTATGCTCCGGTTGTTGAGCAGTGGGGAGAAAGCGGGGTGTAAACCAGTGCTAGAAGAGTTTGCCTCATGCTCAGGTTGTTGAGCTGTGGGGGCGAGGTGGAGAAGTGCGATTGTGATGAATGTGTTGGGGGCCGGTAGAGGCAAAACCATTTTGGCACGTGCGCGTCATGCTCAGGTTGTTCAGCTGCGGGAAGGGGAGAAAGCAGGGTATGGATAATGGAGGGAGGAGGGTGAGCAAGCCCTCTCTTCGCGCAAAGATGATGTGGCATAGAGCCGTTCCCTTCTGTCAGTAGCGGCCCATGATCAGCTCAGAAAGGACAGAAGACAACATCGGAGAGACCCTGCAATCAAGAGAGCAAGGAATTGTGTGCAGAAACACAAGGGGCTACAGGTGCAGAAGGACGAGACAATTGTGTGCAAGTGCCGGACGCAGCGCAAAAGTAAGGTGGACACCGATTCAAAATGGTTCAAGAAGGTGGTTGAACTGAAGGGTTTGGGAAAAGAGAGAACTGACCAGAAGAAGCTCCAACAACCTGAAAACAAAAAGAGGATGGCACCGCGATTTAATGTCAACTGCGAACAACAACGTCTCCCGTCAACCTTTCCAAAGAAGCCTCACCTTGACGCAGAGGCTCTGCGTTATGCACACCGGGGGCCGGTGCTCCTCCAGCCCGCCCTTCTTCTTGGCTGACGTCACCCCGCTCAAGTCATCGTCGCCCTCGTGCGGCAGCTCCTTGAGGCACTCCTTCTCGAGGAGCGTCACGTATGCCTCCACCGCGGTGCACATGGCACCTTCCATGGCGGCCAGGAAGCGGTGCCCGATGTCTTGTTGGACCAGCTGCGGGTTGATGTCTTGCACGACTTGCTCCAGCAGGCAAAACAGGTCTGCAGAGAAAGGGGTTTGAGGTTTCTAAATTTCATGATGTTACATCGGAGCAGGTCCCAGGATCTAAACATCGTGCGAGGTATGTTGTTGTTTGTGAATGGGCGGGTCTCGCTTCGGAATCTGCTGTAGGGTTAGGCAACGTTCGAGCGGTGTGCTGAGTGTTTGTAAGCCAGTAAACTAGTCTGCGAGTAAGCCAGGCTGGGGTCCCATGCTGAAGGAAACTTGGGAGTACTATGGCTATAGTAGAAAGGTCTGGGCGAGCGCTGTTCGACGAAGCTCACCTACGACTGACGTCGAGAAGAAGACGCGGTCCTTGGACTGGGACGCGGGGACCCACTTCTCAGTGGTCACGTTCGTGTGGATCCAGCTGAAAGACAGTCAAAGATGTGCGGCAGTCAGTCCCAATTAAGCACAGCGGGTGAGAAGCTAATCTACTCTGAATAGGGGAGCTGCCCAGATTGCACGTCTGGATACAGTCCTTGGCTGGCACGCTATGAACGTCAGCTTTGAACTGATATCCTTGTAAGATTTTCACAAAACCGGCCTCGAGAACGCCGCTTCGCCTTGCCAGACCGGATTTTGGGGCCTTCAGAATTCGGGGCGCCATTTCCCACTCGTTGCTTGGACGCCTATTTGTCAAACCTTTGGCGCAACGAACGCTGCCAAACATCTCGGTGCTGAGCCCTTTCAAAGCACGACGCACCAGGTACACGGTTCCGATCGCATGCAGGTCTCAAACGGCTGACGACCACATTTTGGCCCCTCATCTGCAGTCGGAAAGACAAAAGCAAGGGGAAGAATTCGGGTTTTGAAGAAGCGGCTTACTCGACGAGGCGGGACGTGGTTCCCGCAGCCCAGGAGAGGACGTAGTCGTCGAAGTATTCGGGGATGTCGAACTTGGCGGGCAGAACAACCCCCAGCTGATCCACCGTGATGTTAAGCTCGTGGAGCGCAATCACCAGGTCCTGCGGGACAATTTACCAATCTAGTTGGTGTTTCATAACGCGATTCTCGGGAGTCCTGCTAACTTGCAGATGGATGTGTTGCAATTTGAGGAATTTTGGGGTCCGGCTGACTTGCAAATGTATGCGTTGCGGTCTGATCGTTCTGAGGGTCCGGCTGACCTACAAATGTATGTATTGTGGATCGAGTGTTTTGGGAGACCAGGTAACCAGCAGATGTATGTGTTACGGTTTGAGGGTTTACTAGACTGGACAAAACTCGGACTGTTCAGGTCTGAAAACATCAGAACGTCAGGGTGTCAAATACGTCAAGCTTTAACTATTTTCAGGTATGCAGGAAACGGAGAATTGAGGATGTCAGCATTTTGAAGCCACTAGTGTTTCAAAACGTCGTGCTTTCAGGACTTCAAGATCAGGGGTTGCACAGTATGCTGACTTCGCAAAGCCAAAAAGGCACAGTTTGCAGGACACGTGAACCGGAAGCAGGGGTCTGAGGTGACAAGCTCTGCGTTCGAGCGTCAGACCCACAAGCGTGGATCATTGTAGCGAGCAATAGAGATATAGCGGGAGACGGCGACCCTTGGAACAGCATCATTGCCAAACGTAACTCTTCGCAAGCGAGCAGCTGGCAGCAAACGGACAGGGGCTGACGCGGCAAGAACGTACAGCTTACCTGGTACGTCCGGGTGAAGGCCTTGGTGTCCGATGAGGCCAGGAACACTTTGAGATGGTCAATCAGCTGCAGAACAGACGAAAAAGTGACCCATAAAACTCAAGAGATGTATGGATAAGAAGCTCGATGAGTATTAAGATCATTCTATTGGGCTAACACAGACTCAACCCCTAACCCAGACGTCCAGACGCTCCGCATACCAAACTCATTTTGACGTCGCGGACGAAGGTGAACAGGCAACTTACACGAAAAGCGAGGTGCTGAAAACATAATCTATGACTCCAGCATTTGCGACAACAGGGGCAAGTGGGCACAGAGGGCACAAAGGACTGCAAGAGGCATGCAGGGGCGTCAGGCTCCTCCGCACTTTGAGCCGCTTCAGCTGTTTGCCATCGGGTTTGCAAACGCCGGGAGCATGTTTCTAATGTTCAACCGTCCGATCGACAACGGGAAGGCTTGACAGGATTACCAGTTGAAATCGATACTGGGGTGGCAGGCTTGACACAAACAGCTGGATAAGGTTAGGACAAGGCTGGATAAGGCATTCGCCATCAGGACCAAGACTCTCGTCCTCTCGGTTCCTTTTCTCACCTGCCGGTACAGGGAGGTTCCGGTCAACTGCACCAGCGGCAGGTTCCGTGGGAACGACCCGCCGTAGATCGTCGCGTGCTCCCCGAGCATCGCCTGGATCTCACGGCACGCGCGTGTGAGCTCGGTGACTGACGTCACAGTCAGCTGCTTGTCGGACGGGTTCGCGGAGCCAAACAAGATGCGGGCGAACGCACGTTGCATCGCAGTCTGCAACACAAGGAACATCAGCCGTTCATTCTCTTGGGTGGAACAATGCGATTGACGTTGATATTTAAAGCCGCTGCCCTTGGAAATGATCTGCAGCGCCGAACAAGAAGTGGGCGAATGCGCGCTGCATCGCAGTCTGCAGCGCAAGTGGATATCAGACGCGGATGAGTTGCGTCAGCTCGTGCGGATGTTTCTAAGGTAGGAACCGCTTCCTTGTAAGTTACGAACATACTCCACGACTTCGAACACGATGCCGAGAAAGGCACGCTCAACCGCAGCAGGTGAGGGTTCGGAGCGAAAGTGTGGAACAAATCGTAAGCGAGAAAACAATCCACATAAAGGTTCCGTAGACGTCTGCGGCCAGTGCACGCCGCAGCGCAGTCTGGGGGGAGCCCGGATTTCAAGCAGCCGTTTGGAAGGTCAAGTTCGAAGAAGTTTCGTTACTCATCAACCCCTGCTTTCGCGCACTTACTGTCGTTTTGGCATCAGAATCTGGACTATGCACTCACGGGGGGGTCCGCCCACGCGGCCTTTGGTGGACCCTTTTGCACGAGCTTAACACTCCGCTGACTACTCTTCTTTCATGTAGTCGCAGGATTCTTTTTTTCCCAAGTTGCCGTACAAAAGGAACCTTGGAACTAGATTGGCATACAGGACGACTCTGGTCGATGTGCTTCCTTGTATTGCAAAGCCGTGACCCAATAGCCCTTTCGAATCGAACTTTGCAGACTGCCCTTCCTCGCCTCGGTCAAGGCAGCAGCTCGAGCTTGCTCGGGTCGGGGTCAATGCGCCAGGGAAGAAACCCACTTCGCCCAGCCCTACCCCAAATCGTACACCCCAGTTAAAACAGGTCACAACGCTCCCTACTTCGAGCTTTGAAAACTTCTAACCCCACTCTTCAGACCGAGAAACCCTGAGCTTCAAAGGAATTGAAGACTTGCCTCGGTCCAGTCTGCGAGCTGCAGCTCGAGCTTGCTGGGGTCGGGGTCGAAGCGCACAATCAGGCCGAGCAGCTGCAGCAGCGCCGCAAGCGCACCGGGGGGCTGGTTGCGCGGGAACTCAGTGTCGAAGTTGGTAATGGCCTGCACGGCAGGGGCCTCGAGCGCTGCACGTAAGCAGAGGAGAACGAGTCAGATCGGGATGACGACGTTCATTGTGCGTCTTCCTTCGCTCTCGGCAGCCATAACTTTTTGGTACCTAAGGAGCCTTTCCCGAAGCGATTTGATTCGAACAGGCAATTCCGAACGTCCGAGGTCCCATTAGTCAAGCTTTTAGGGATTCAAATGATGCTCCCACACAAATCTTACAAGCACGAAATTCTCTTCAAGCTAATGACGGTTCGTCTCTCAACCCGCGCTCGAAGGCCACAAACTGACGCACCGCGTCTCCCTCACCTCATAAAAGTGATCTGCATCAAGTGTTTCGCCCTTGGTCAGCGGCTTTTGGGGCAAATCTCTTGCAAACGTGGACTTAAACAACCCCCTGACCTTTGCTGATAAAAGTCTTGTCAAGGACCCGTGGGAAACGGGGCCCCCCTTGATATAATTAACAGTCCTCTCCTGCCTCACCTCTCACGATGATGTTCTGAATCATGTTCTCGTCCAGGTCAGCCGCCAATCGAATGACAATAATCTTGTCGAAAATAGAGAGAAGAAATTCGTAGACTGCCCTAATCCTAGTATAAGCCGCCCCATGGAGAGGAACCGCCATCAACCAAGTTGGACTCCGCTCCTGCCTCACCTTTCACGATGATGCTCTGCATCATGTTCTCGTCCTTGGTCAGCCGCCCCAGAAGCGCCAGCCTGCACGGCTCGCGCCATTCATCGACTATGATGTCGAGGTACGCCGTGTCGGTGCGGAACGCCTTGGTCAGCTTATCAAGGGCCGCCAGGTGGCAGTGCGCAGTGCGCACGCGGTGGTGGTCAGCGAAGCTCTCCAGGATGTACTGCCACATGGGGGGGACCTCGTACTTCCAGCGGGAGCCTGAGGAGAGAGAGAGAGGTGGAAAGGTCGCTTGGGCTGATTGCGGGGATCCAAAGCTGGTTGACATACTTCAAGCAAGGCTTGCGTCAGGAGGTTTGATGTCCTTACGAAAATGGAATCTTGGAAACTTTGGAGTAGCCATGATGTTGTATGGTGGTTAGAAAAGTCTAGCCAACTTTTCCCTCTAGCCTGAATCTAGACCTAGAATCCTAAGTTGATCAAAAAAGTGAAGAGATATTCTTCTCATTGTTTCGACTCCTGGTACGGGTATGCAAGCTTCTTAATGAATCGTAAAGATTTGCCTAAGGCCCTAAGGCAAAGACAAATCCAACTTACACAAAATCGAAGTAAGACTGGCAGTCTGGCTTACCTGCCGAGCGGAGGTCCTTCTCCTCCCACGCCTTACGCAGCAGCGCATCGTATACTGCCTCCGCATTCGGCAGCAGCGCAATCAGCGACGGGTCCGTTGGCCTTCCCGTACTGTGCCTCTCCACAGTCCATGCAACGCGCACCATCACGGTTCCCTTCCTCTTCCCCCCTGCCGCAGTGAAAACAATCTCGGTTTCGGGGGTGGTCGCCTTAACCCCAGTGCCCCCCGCACGTCCTGACAGACGCTCGATCTCGCCAAAGCTGATGCGCCCCTCGCCCAATAGCTTATCGTCCACAAGATCCCGGGAGGAGGGGGATTTGGCGTCAGTTTCATCTTCGCTGATGCGGCGGATCTTGGAGTCTTGGCGGCCTTTGCTCTCCCACAGCTCAAACACGAGCTCGTCCTGCGGGTTAGTCGCGGTGAGCGGGACACTCTTCTGGTTCCAGCTGACCAGCTTTGCCTTTGAGACTGCCTTTGACCGCCACCGAAAACCCATGCCCTTGGTGCTGGAGACACTCGCAGAGATGTACACGTCTCCGTCAGACTGGGGGGTCCCACACGCAAAGAGCCCGCCGCTCCCGATCTTTACTGTGCCAGAGTTGAGTTGGACTGTGAGCGTCCCGTTCATTGCGGGGAGTTGGCGAGTGGTGTTCTGGAGGGCCTTAAGAGCGGCGACCTCCTCGTCCCGCCAGATGTTGTATAGCTGGGGGGATGGGAAAGAGGCGGGGGTGTAGGACGGGCCACGGTTGTTCAACAGGGCCTCAATGCGGGCCTCTAGGTCTGAAGAAAGACATGAAGTTTGTGTCAGGAGTCCGTCCACTGAAAGATCGCGCTTCGTTGATGGAAGTTGCAGCCACGCGAGTGACCCTAAAGAGGTTCTGAAGTGTCCCGTCCTAGCTGATGTTCTGTGAGGGGCAAGAGGCAGATGTGCCGCTTTATTACAAGTTGGTAGCAACTCTATGATTCGCAAGAGTCTCTGGTTACTGTAAAGGAGTAGAGGCAATGTAAAGAAGCAGACCACCGCCAATTATGCCAGAGGCTTGAGGATGTTGAACGGTAGTGCGGGGCGTTGCCCATGGTGGCCTTGAAACCTAGATGTAGTGTTTTGATCCGCACATCATAATTGTGGCATGAAGGAACTATGAAGGGACTTCAAACTGGAAAGTTTCACAACAATGCCCCAGCTTCCGAGCCTTCTCTAGAGCGCCTGGTCACAAGCGGAGCCAAAGAAAGAAGGATCAAAAGCAAAGCCAGTGACACCTTCTGCCTCAGATCCTAGGCCTCCCTCACCTGCCAGGTGATACTCCGCCGCATTCTGTGCTTTCAGCAGCGTCTGAGCGTGGACATCCTCTGAGATCTTGAACGCGTTTCTCAGCGCTTCTGCTGCCTCAAACCGCTCGTCCAGGCTCTCCTGAATGCTCCTCATGAAGAGAGAAACAACCGCGGCCTCATACACTTGCCCCTGAGGGGGGGGAGGCCCCGAGGGCCGCACCGTATATTCCCCTTGCATTGCTTCAGCAGCAGGGGCAGTTTTCAGTGCCTCTGCATTTTGCAATGCCACCTCCCCCTCGTGTCGGCCCTTACTCAGGCCCCTCTCAAACCTGACACTTGGCGCTGTCTTTGGTAAGGGGAAGACTTGCACCTCCTGGATCTTTGACCCTGGATTGAGGGAGCGTAGAAAATCCGCCTTCTTCTCAGAGCTTATTGACCAGTGCTCGAGCTCCGGCTCAGGTTCGTGAAGGTTTGAGAGGTTCTGGAACGCCATTTGACGAGAGGATTCCCCTCACTTGTGCACCAAGGGGCTGGCAGCTGGTGAATGCCCCTGATTGTTGAATCTGTCTGATTCCAAGCAACTCTTTTCCTGGCCCGCCGCCAAGAGTGTCTCCCTACTGATCACCTTCCTCTTTGTTCACAATACTCGTATTAGCTTCAGCAACAAATTTCGGCGCAAGCCACCACACGAGAGCTGCATTGCAATGGAGAGCTGCAATTATTGTCAGTGTAGTCTTAGACCCTTGAGGCTTGCACTGCCAGCAGCCTTGAGCTCATCTCTTCGGAAGATTTTGAAGAGCTCTGCAACGTCAAGAAGTTTTGCAACGTGCAAGATTCGGTACGGTACCGGGGTCACGGTACTGCAACCAAAGCCAATCTCACAGACCGGTTTTAGCTACCGGTCACCCTAGATGTGGGGCTGAATCGCCTTTTCTCAAAGTCCCGAGCATTGCGCTACCGGTGGCTGGGTGACTGTATAGCACCGATTTCAAAGAAAGTTCGAAGCACGAGCACGGCGATTTTGTCGGAACAGATTTCCCCTCCGGAGCCTGAGGTTGCTTCCTCAATCCTGTGCAAGTGCAAGCTTTGAAGTTGCTGACGCGTCACGGGGTTGTGATGCATCTCTCGATTTCAAGCTTCTCTTTCTCTCTCAAGACTTCTGCGCGCACCACCCTCATTTAGACAGGTTTTGCAGCTGCCACGCTCTGTCCTTAAAAAGGCCAAGATGGCTTCTCAGGTGGCGACGCAATGCTGCACAGTGACTGGCCTAGCAGGGGCGCGGTCTTTGGGGTCGGCGCACGGCCTGCCGGAGGGCTTGAAAGTTAGCCCGGTCATGAACAGGAAAGTGCAAAGATCAGCAAGGAAATCCAGCATTGTGGCCATGGTTCCCAAAAAGAAGGTAGGCCGGCATTGCCCCTTCTACAGATCTGGATCTGCCTGCCCCCGTTCTTTCCTTCCTCTGTTTCAACGGCTGTGACCAGGGGACCAGAATGAGCACAATGGAAACTTGAAACACTGTGGTGATGGGGTTCAACCTCTCAAGCGTACATAGATCTGCGGGTTGGAGCTGCCTGAATGCAAACCAGGAAGCAGGCAGGACATTCCAGTTTGTCATGACTTTCAAAGTTTCAGAAACCATCATAAGCACTTACTTGAGCGGAGACTTCAATAGAGCTATGAACTTACGTAAAGCCTGGATCTACGAGTGTCGCTGCACCAAACATTGTGCTGATGAAGGTACTGTTATACAAATGGTGCCAGGAACCTTTCTGCTCATCAGAAATGAAGGCAGCTCATTTGGATTTTGGTGTTTCCCAGTTTTCTGAAGCCTACTTCTTCAGCATTCAAAAAGAGATTTGCACTTTCACTGGTCTGCTTCTTATGACATGCATCCTCTTTTTGTTGCATGCCGCTTTTTGTACCTTTTGTCCTTGGGCTTCAGCTGCAGAATACCCTTTTCGCCACAATGCATCAAAATGAATGCACTCTCGTCCCGGGAAAACACGAGAGCTTTTCTACTTCAATCCTTGGTATCCATACTGGTGGCAAGTTTTACAAGAAGGCATTTGTGGATGTATAGGGTTCCAAGACCGCAACAGTGCAATCTGTTTCAAGTGGCAAGGCAAGAATGTCGGGGTTTTCCAGATATCCAACTGCGCAGACTTTCACTGCCCTTATTAGCACCAACTCATTTGCCGTACCGCTTGAGAAAGCTTCAGCTTTCTGTACCAGTCTTGTTTGCAACTTTGCAGAATGAGTTAAACGCTAGCGCCTTCGCGCAACTTGTCCCGAGTCTTTTTGCTGCTGTGGCTGTATGCAAGGTTAAATCCACTAAAAATGTGTTAGGTTCAAAGAGCAGGTCAGCACAGTCTTGCAAGCAAAGTTCCGTGGCAGCGGAAAGGCCTGCCCAATGCTTTGCCCACCTCTTTGCCTAAGAACAGTCCAAGCAGTTTAGGTAAACACAAGTTGGGGGTTACATTTCTGTTAAAAAGCATTCAATCATTCTGCTAAACCTCTTGTCTGCTAATTCAACTCGAAGGTTACGTATGTTTCTGCCTTTGCTTCATTCTTGAAGGCAATGAACGGTGCTCAAGCAAGCTTTGAGCTCCTTTGTGTAAACAATTGTTTCAGTCCAGCTTAGCAGCTTCTGGACTGCATATTGTGTTGAGCATTGGACCCCATTCCAAACTGACATGGCTGCATTGAATATGAACAATCTCGGGCCAGCTCGCACTACTAAAAACTGCGGTCATTTAGACGCGCAGGCTTCAGAGCGCCAGCGGACTTATTCGACAAACCCAAAGTCAAGGCTCCTCTAGCACAATTCTATCCACTATGACGCAATGTAGTACTAATCTAAATCAACTCGTCGCCACCATGAAGAGCTCATGGGACAGGCTAGGCAACTTCCATAGATACGATGCTTGGCAATAGGCTTTCAGAATTCAGTCATTGACGAAAAAATGTAAGAATGTCTCAAACTGGATCAAATCTGATGCTTCGGTTGTACTTTGAACTTTTGTGAATCAAGTGGTTTGGAGGTCTAGAAGCTTGCTTCCTCTTTGTGCCCATTGAAAATCCTGGACGCATTCCTACAATCTCATTTAAGGATTGTTTTGGCCTGTTTGTTCATCGAATGCAAGAACGACCGAAAATGTTTGCGACTTTGCTTCAGGTGAACGCTTATGACGAGGCCTGGACCAAGAGCTTCTTTGGCACAGGCTACTTTGCGGAGAGCAGCGAGACCGCTGGTGCCAACATCATCCAGTCTTTGGAGAAGAAGAAGTTGTTGAGCGGGATCGAGAAGGCCGGCGTTCTTTCCAAGCTTGAGGGCGCTGGGCTGTCCCTGTCCACCATCGAGAAACTTGGACTCTTGTCAAAGGCCGAGAAATTCGGTCTATTGTCACTAGTCGAGAACCTGGCGGGCACAAATCCGGGCGTCATTGCGTCATATGCCCTACCTTTGTTTGCGGCCTCCATTGCTAGCATAGTTTTTATCCCGGATGACACTACTGTCCTCCTTGCCCTTCAGTACACCTTGGCAGTTCTGTGCTTAGCTGGAGCCGGGGGTGCTTTCGTGACGGCCTTGGTTTTGGGTGCTCTCCAAGACTAGACATTGACAGACTGAGTGGACGGTAGTTTGCATCTCGTGAGTGGTTCGTCTATAGAAAGTGGGGCCGTTGTAGTAAATAAACATGTTAGCCTCTCCCCTCGTTTGGTGGAAATTGCGCAATAAGCAGTTTTGCTCCCTCAACAGTCACACGCACGATATTATGTGTGCCACTATTGAACAATTGTAGATTTGTTGTTGGCCCGTTATTGCCGGTTCACGGGCACTTGTCATGCAATGTCTTTTGCGATGATAAGGGAAGATGACAAAGAAAATATAGCAATTTTGAGCATGTTTCAAGCGCACGGCGAAATGCATGCTTCGACGCCATCCTAATGGCCCTTCATCGCGTGTAGTATCACAAAATCCTCCAGAGCCATCATTGTCGAGCTCTGAAGATACACATGTTGACAAGGCCATATAATAGTCGTCAGGCCAAACACTGTCTAGTTTATGCCTATCAGCATGACGACAGTGCGTCAACATTGAACAAACCCACTGAAGATTCAGTGAAGAAGTCCATGAACTTGGGAGCAGAAACTGGAAGGAGTGCTGGCTTCAGATTGTATCAAGATTTGATCAAGTCTGGAAACGTACGGTGACAAACCAATGGAAAGGATGTTTGGGCCGACGTGGCAAACTTGAGAAATCTGACCATGGTGACGGCGGCCGGGCCGCCGCCCGGCGCTCGGCGGTCCAAAAACTCAAAGGCAGCCGGAGAAGGCCCCCGGGCCCCTGCGGATACCAACGGCGGCGAGGTGCCTTGAAAAAGTCGGGGTTCCCAGATGACCACCGCCCGGCACTCGGTGACCGGTCCCAGTCAGTTCGTCCTGAAGGCTGAGTAGATCCTGTTCGTGCTGCAAATTGCAATACCTATCCTACCTACGAGTCTTTAAATGTCTACGACATTGATACACAGGTAGAAAGTGCCAGAGCCAGCTAGGTCCTAGGTCCTAGCGCCTTGGGTCCAACTGCAGTCAGTCGTCGTCTTGGAAGTTGGAACTTGGTTCTGCCTTCAATCCTCGGCATGCACAGAACTCAGGTTGATGATAATGTTTCTTTGATGATAATGTTTCAAGACAGATCGCCATGCTGCTGAACCCACTTAAGCCAAGTAGGGGCAATATGCACATTCCTCGTTGCATTTGTGCTGTAATTTTTGACATCAGAACTCCTTCATGCAGCACAGCCCCAGAGACTCTTGAAATTTGATCTGCCTGTGTCCATTTCGCGATGCCTCAGCACTCATTCGCGTTCCTTGCAGATAGTCAAGAAACGAAACTTCTATAAAGTGCGCTGCGCTTTGAGAAACTTCTATTGAGTGCGCTGAACTTTGAAACCCTTCGATTTAAGAACTATCAGGTCACCCCTCTTCGTGTTTTCAGAAGCTAGCTGGACCAATTAGATCGTTTTTAGAGCTCAGTAGAAAATGAAAGGGGATGTCAAAGTGCTGAGCTACGGTGACGCGTTTCTTCGCGCCAGCGACTTAGCTCTCTTGAATGCACCCAACTGGCTGAATGATAATATCATTAGTTTCTACTTCGAGTATCTTCAGAAGGAATGCATCGGTGAGGCGAACTTTGTGTGCTTGGGGCCTTCGGTTAGTTTCTGGCTGGCCAACAGCCCCGACCAAGCAGACTTCAAAAAGACTCTTGCACATTTAGAGTTGGTCCAGAAAGACGTCATATTGCTGGCTATCAACGACAATCAGGAGCTTGACTTGTCCGGAGGCGGGACACACTGGAGCTTGTTAGCTTTTTTCAGGGGTGACGGCGCCTCAAATGGGAAGTTTGTGCACTACGACTCAGCCAGCGGAAGCAACAAGAGGTATGCGCAACATTTGACAGACCTGCTTTCCAAAGGGCTTCTTGGAAAGAGTCTTGAAATGATTCCTCAATTTAGTCCTCAACAGGTTAACGGGTGGGATTGCGGTGTCTACGTGCTGGGTGTGGCAAAGTGCTTGTGCGAGTGGTACACGAATTCGGAAGGCCGAAGGCTATCAGAAATCATTGAGGCAAGCGTAACGCCTGCGAGAATCACGAGTCTGAGACAAGAAATAAGGGACTTGATTCTCAAAATGGCACGAACTGCGACTGAATGAAAGTCAGGAGAAAGTAATTAGGAGGAAACCAAGTCAGAGCAACTCATAGATTCCTCGAGCCGGGAGGTTCAAAGGTAGGTGCGAGATCCATTTTAAGCGGGAGAAGAAAGCTGACACTTTTGTTGAAGTGAGGTTTGGTCAGCTAGAGAGCTCTGTGAGAGAGCTAGGTCTGGCTGTTGTGATTGGCAGGTTGTAAACATCGTCTCAATGTTGATGCACGTACACAGAACCAGCATGCATGTTCATCGGGGCAAGGCCAATCGTGTCGCATTCGAGTTATGGATGCTGCAGTTGGCATGGCATGTGATGCTGCAGCTTTGGATCTCCGCAAGACTTGTGTACGGTACCTTATGAATCTGTTTATATCATGTTCAATGATATGTTCACGTTGCATGTGGATCCTCATATATATCAGTGATACTACAACGATTCAATCTTGCAGTGCCCTTGATCGCGATAAAGATCATGTCCAATCGAAGACTAACTCGCTCATGCACGTGCAACTTCTGAAAAACTATTGAACATGTATAGTTGACGGATTGGGGCGGCCGCGGCCGCGGTGCCACTCTACGGCACTGCATATGAGAAGTTCTGCCAATACCCGCATATACTCTTTATGACGTCGACCAGCCATCTTATGCATGAGACATTCAATGATTGTCGCCAGATTCGAATCTGCGACTATCTTATTAAGTACTTAAACGTGTCTGAGAACTACAGCATATATACGCAGACTCGCAATCAGCATATGAACCAGTGCCGGGGCAGATGTCAACAATTGCTCATGCAGGACGATGATTTCTATAGCCTGGCAAGCTGCCCTCTCCATCAGGGTGTTTGGAAGTTGGTCGTACCGTACTGGAAATACCTGTTCTTCTTCATTCTTATTAAAAACAGCTGTCTAATGTACACGTTTCACATACATACACAATAATAGACCTCGAAGCAGTGGACTTGAAACGTTCCCACTTTCAGACCAAGAGATCAGTAATTGTAGTACTCAGAGTCGTAGTCATCCCCATACCCGCCAGTCTCGGGCACCAAGTCCTCCATCTGTTGAATCTCCCTCCGAGCCGTCTCTTCCACATCCTCCCCCCTCTCCGGCTCCCTCTGTGCACCCTTCTGCGCCTCAGCCGCCTTCTCCGCCGCTCGTTCTGACGCCACCGTCCGCGCTTTCCCCGCCAACTCAGACGACCGCCCCAAGCGACTCTTGCCCACCTTCGGCTGCACCACTTGGTCTTGCGCCTGCCCATCCTCCGCAAACGTGACCCGCCGCCCTTTTCGCGCATCCGGTTTGCTTTTCTTTGCGGCCCCCGGTTGCACCCACGGGCTCGGCTGCTTCGCGTCGACCGGCTCCTGTTTCCGCTTGGCGCCCTTTGCGTCTCCGCTGCTACTCCCCGTTTTGAACAGTTGCGCCAGAACCGTATAGTTGACTTTGGAACTCAGTTTCCGGCTGGCCAGCATGCGGTGTGTGGCGCTCGCTGCCGACTCGGCGGGGCCCGCCTCCTTTCCAGCAGCTTTCTCCTTCTTCTTGCGCTCCTTCTTCGCGCGCACGGCCGCCACCGCCGCCGCTGCGATCTGCAGAGACACGCAAGGATACAATAAGCGTTGTTGTCCTACGCAAGTTGGCACGAGAATCGTACGGTCACCCAAAGGATCGGGATTTGCAGGAGTAGTCTCCTCAATGCGCCTCCAGTAGAAAATGAAAGCGAGCAAATTGAAGTCCTTCTTGTCAAGCAAAATAAGAGGGCAGAAAGAGATTGCCGCAGCCCGTCGAAGCAGGACGAAATGTCCTCGCTTCTGCATCTGATGAGACGCGGAGCTTCTACCGTCAATACGCCCCAGGTTTAAATTTTCAAAAATCCATCTCCCCAACAGGAAAACATCTGGCGCACCTGCTCTGCCGCCTCTAGTTGCTCCGCCCCGACCGCGTTGTCCTTTGCCGCTGTGATCGCCGCCACATGGGCCGCCTCCGCGGCCTCAACCGCCGCGCGCTTCGACTCCTGGTCCGCCAAATACTCCTTATGCAGCTCCTCCCAAATGATGCTCTTCATCTTGACCTCCTCTTCCGTATGCAAATACCCGTCCACTTCGTCATCGTCAATATCCGACAGCCGGTCCTCCTCTTCTTCCGGTTCGTTCACAACCTCCCCCTCTAGTTGCTCTTCCTCCTCGCCATCGCTCACCCTCCCGTCGATCTCCTCCTCTACTTTCCTACTCGCTTCGCCGGCTTTCACCATGGGGGCTCCGTTTGCCTCCGCCGATTGCATTTCCGCAGCTCCCGGCCGAGCAGCATTCGCGGGCCGCAGCGGTGAGACCGGTGACGGTCGCCCTTTCAACCCTTCCAGTCTCACGCTCGGACTCGCAACCCCTCCGGGCATTCGACTACCGAGGGGCGACCGCTGCCCGTCCGCGGCGGGGGTATCCCCCCGGGGCGACGGCGTCCCGTCCCTGCTCCCGGACGGACTCCCCGCATTCGACGCGCCGCTGTGGGCCGTTTCCCCCTGGCTCGTCGTCGCCCCGGAGCCGTCGCTCAGGCGCGCGGCGTGCAGGCCCCCCTCGATGGTCGCCACGTCCAGGCTACCCAGCGCCTCCTCCATCTCCTGTTCCATGCGGCGCGAGGCGACCGTCTCCCGGAACGCCTCTGCGAGGCCCTTGCGCTTCCGCCGCACCTTACGGTGGATCACGGCGCGCTTCGCCAGTTCCTCCGCGTACGACTCGGCATTTTTGTCGAGGCCCGCGTCGTCCGCCGCGAGCACTTTGAGGAGCCGCTGCTTCTCCAGCTCCTCTGCGGTGCGCGCCTGCTCCGCGCGCTGAAAGGCCGGGGGGGCGGAACCGCTGCCGCCAGTGCCCCCCGAAACTTTGATGAACTGCAAAGCAATGGGACGACACGTGAGTTGCACGCAGGGCGAATTCTGGAATCCGGAAACGACGTCGAGATTCAACACGTGAAGGAGGAGGATGCTTGCGCAAAGCGCTAAACTCACAGAACCTTGACATTTTGGGGACGTTGTCGGCAATGTTCTAGTCGCAACCGGACTCCCACTGCAAAGGTGTATATGCAAGAATTTACCACTATATCCCGCGACTCGGCATGCATTACCTCGTCATAGCAACATTTACACAGCCCAAGCGCATAGTGCGCCTCTCCCATGCCCCGATGCATACACGTCACCTCCTGAGGCACCGTAAGGGTGCCGGCGTTGCCCGCGGAAAGCGAGAGCGGGCGATGCGCCTCTATTTCAAACTCCTTTGCTTTCACCTCAAACTCTTCGGCCTGTAAAGGGCCGCAACAATCTGTCAGAATGTCAGAAGTTGCTCATTGTGAGGATGAATCGTCTGCGAGCAACGACTCAAAGGGTACAAGGTGGCAAATCAGACTCGGAAACGGATACTGGCATCATGTGCAAAATGGCTGCACTAGAGAAGCAGGCACCGGCACCGTGCTGCAACAATCTGGGGTGACACGAGAGGTCTGCTTTAGCAAGAGGGACGAGTTCGGATAGGCGCGTCAGCTGCAGCTTCGAGATTTGAAACAAGTCCAATCCACGAAGCAATGCAGAAGGCTTCCTCCCTGTTCCTCGTCATGGAAAGGCTGTTGCAGAGCAAGACGTCATTGGAACTCTGCCAATGGTAAATCGTTGACCGCAGGCACCGCGTGGGGTCGACGCCGCAACCAAGATCGCTTGGAAACTCACAGTTAGGCTGCCAGACTCCGTCTTCTCAAACTCGATCAGACGCTTCTTCAGCGTCGCCTCGCAGATGTGTACGATAGCCACGATGTCCTTCTTGGAGCGCTCAAAACCGTGAATGTGGGCTGCGATAAACAGGGCGGCTCCGCAGATCCCACTCGGCCGCCGTCCAGTCTGCAGCAGTGGTTGGAGACAAGATGAGCTTAAGCTTCCCTTGGCAGCTGAAGGTCCGTCAGACCAACAAAACAATCCAGCACCTCTGAAACCACTGAAGGAGGTTCGTAGAGCGCTTGTAGAGAAGAGTAACTCTCTTCTGCGGACTGGTCAAAAAAATTGGAGCAGATCTGACATGTCAAACGCACACCCATTGAGGGACTCCATCAAGAGGTACGGGCAGCAGTACACTGTCGCCAAATCAAAAGCACGCATACACTTCAAGGATGGATGCACGGATCCCCCATCAGCTGTCTGCTCTGCTGCTTTTTCGCGGATCGAACCTGTGCTTGAGGTTGTACATAGACAGATTCCTTCAAGTGACATACAAAACGTAGGACAATCGTTTTGACAGATGCTCTGCAAGGACGGCATCCAAAATGAACAACTAGAAAAGGGAGAGATCAGGTGCTCGCCTGCATCCAGTCCCGCTTCATGCTGGCCACCAACCGGAGAGCCGTGTTTGCTACCAAGTGCTTCTTCCTCTCCCCAAAATCCAACTCTGCAAGCATGCAAAGAAACGTCAGCTGATTAAAATGCCGGTAGCATCATTCCCGAATGTTCCTCTGCATTCGGGGAAACTTGCCGACATGATCAATGCAACTTTCGTCGAGTTTGGAGTAAACAGCAACACCCTCTCTTTTTTCGTTATTTTGCTTCAGAGGACACAAGTCCACCTTACAACAAATGCTATTGATTATACTAAAGCCTGGGGGTTCGTGCAGACCCAAAACCGCATTTGTCAAAAGATGGGACATGCACATCTAACAGCCCTCGCCGTTGGAGGGATACAACCGCAAGGATGAAAGCCGCAGCCGCGCAGGCCAAGGGACCTGGAGAAGGAACACTTACTGTCCGCAAAACGATGAATGAAGAGACTGGGGTCCACTGGCTTCTGCATGATGGGGTGCTCAGTCAGGCTGAGCAGGCGGCACAGCTGCAAGAAGACCGCGCCAAGGACATATCTGCAGATGGATAGAGCACAAGCAATGTCAGGTCAATAGTTAGTTACATTGCTCGAGGTACCCTGCACTCGCAGCTAGCACGTACAAGCAGTTCTGCCTTAACCCATGGGTTATGTCAGTCAGGATACCACCGTGAATGTCCTTGACACAAGGGCTCAAGACACAGAACAGGGCTTTGCTTAGCGATTGATGGCTCCGCTGTCGTCTAGTTGTCCAGCAGCTGACACTCCTGCCGCCTTACCCCACTGATGGCAGACGTTTGAGGCAACCTTCAAGGATTTCGGCCACAGTGAAGGCCAGAGAAAAAATGCTAACAGGCTCTGGCTCAAAAAGGTGACACCCCACTGGCTTCAAACACAGAAAGATGCACTTACTAGCCGGACTTACACGTTTGTTTGCAGACAATCGGAGAAGTCGATAAGCATCCATGGCTTGCTCTCCTGTCGGCAAATGATGTAGAGGCACGCCGCAGCCACTTGCTGCGTCCTGCGGCCCCGTGTGAAGTTGCGCTGCACGCCGAGCTTGTACAAGCGGTGCGCGGATGCAATGATGTCCTCTCGTGGCCGTATCTGTGGAGCAGGCAGAGCGAGTCTATCAAGACATGAAACTTCTGTCTCAGGAAAGGGGCGCAAGGAGATGAAGGCTGTAAGGAACTTTGCAGATGATATTGTATGCATTCTTCAAGAGACGTTGAAATAGAGAAGGAAGTGTTTACATGGTTATCAAAACTGGACGAGGCATGCATTGAAGGGGGGGGGGAGAAAATGTCAAAGCTTCTCTCTCTGCCAGAAGTTTGGGGAGTATACACAACACACACATAAGTTTTATGATATTCTGAACGATGATATCCAATGTCTGCTGCACATGTTATCGCCCTGTAAGCGAGCATTCTCTAAGGCACCTACCTGCAGCCTCTCCACAATCTCCGTGATCTCGTGCTTCCCTTTGCTGATGGTCTTCTCATGACTGTCAGCTTGTGTCCCAAACACCCGGCCTCTTGGTCCAGCCAGCCGGTTCAAGCTGCTCGTGTTGAACTCTGAAGCTACAAAGTTGCCATCAACTTGACTCTGCAAATGCAACGAATGCTGTTGTTAAGAACCAAATGTGAGCCTTTCAGCACACACATTATGAAGCTTTGCAACAAAAGGGCAAACAATGGGATTTCTAGTTTGACAAGGGCATTCTCAGACAAAACCGGAAACACGGAGGCACTGATTTCTGCAGCACGAGCTGCACGGGGGCAAGATGATGGCAGGAACATTTGCCAATCTTGGTGAGAATTAGTGTTTTGTCAAGCAAGTTCAAGTGCTTTTGAACAATGGTCAGGCTGTGACCACAGACAATCAAAATATGAGAATCGAAAGTATCTAAAGAGACGACGACAAAACTATCTACACTAAACGAGCAATGCTGGCACATTCCTGAACTATCACAAGAACCACGCACCTGGCCTCCTGCCCCTTTTGAGAAGGTAGGATCTGTTGAGTACACAGTATCCTCCAAGACCTGGCCACACCCCGTACAGCAGGTGAAGCCATTTGTCTCGTCAAGCTCTGTGACCTGATCCTGAGCGCAGTAGTTGCACCAAACCATGTCTACACTGCTCCCTTGTCAACAAGCTGCGCTTTCACTAGTCTCCCTTGCCTAAGGGATCCTTTGACATCAGCCGCTAACACAGACGGCCCGGCAGCTTGACAATATCCTTCTTGAGCTTCGAAAACGATTCGACGTAGCCCCACACAAGCCAAGCTTTAGGCTATATTTCTCTGATGCCCAAAACAGCTGAAGGTCCAGCACTGCTAGCCCTCTGCCAGCAGGAAAGCGCTCCAGTCTTGCAATGCACATGCTCCTCAGTAACCGAGTCCACTTCGTGCTGCAAGCATGCTCTCCCAACACTTTCAGTGAACGGTAATGGTTAGTTCAGAAGGCCAGGCTAGAAGCTTCGAAGCTTTGAAGCTTCGAATGATTCCCAGCACGCGGTAACGACGAGCTAGGGACTGGGTTGCGCAACTCACCAAGAGAGCTGGCTGGAGGTTCGAACCTGGGGATTCTGCCCGGGCAGACCAGCCGTACACGAGCTGCCGGCCAATCCAAGATCATCCAACATACCTGGCTAATCCAACAATGGTGTCAAAAGGCGAATCCACCGGCCCCGGATCGCGCTACCTAGTCGCGCTACCTAGCCTCAGTGCCCGGCCCGCCTAGGTCGATCATCCGACGCCGTCGCGAGTC